TGTAATTCCGGCTACTTGGAAGGCTGAGGCGGAAGGATCGCCAGAGCCCAGCAGGTCGAGGCTGTGGTGACCGGGAACGGTCACTGCACTCCAGTCTGGGCGACAGAGTAAGACTCCAACTCAAAAAAAAAAAAAAGGAAGCTTTTTTTTCTTTTGAGTTGAAGTCTCACTCTGTTACCCAGGCTGGAGTGCAGTAACATGCTCATGGCCACTGCAGCCTCGGCCATCTGGGTTCAGGCAGTCCTTCCACCTCAGCCTTCCAAGTAGCTGGAATTACAACCATGCACCACCACGCCCAGCTAATTTTTCTTGATTTATTGTAGAAACGAGGTCTTGCCAAGTTGCTCAGGCTGGTCTTAAGCCCCTGAGCTCAGGCAGTCCTCTCGCTTCTGCTTCCCGTAGTTTTGGGACTACAGGCATGAGCCACCACATCTGGCAAAAAGGCTTAAGAGTAAGGATGCAGAGATTATACAGACAATGAAACACTATCAGGGACTGAGACACTTGCTCTGTTTTTTCAGTGTCTTCTCTACTTGCCTCACTCTTAAGCTTTACCTTGTACTTGGCTTTGACCTGCCGAGTGCCTGCTTTGCCATATATTCCTTATAACCTCTCATAGCAGTTCCTTATCTCTGGGCTGTCTCTGTACATAGACTCTTGTTAAGTGCTTATCCCTGGGTGAAATCTTGGGGTCAGTGAGCTCCCCTCAGGTGCTCTGGCAGCTTTAGAGGGGGCTGTGTGATACATTCATTGTTTAAAAGACTAAATGTTCCTGGCCAGGCATCGCAACTTACGCTCATAATCCCAGCACTTTGGGAAGTGGAGACGAGAGAATTGCCTGAGCCCAGGGGTTTGAGACCAGCCCGGGCAACTTGGCGAGACCTCGTCTCTACAATAAATTTTTTAAAAATGACTGCACATGGTAGCATGTGCCTGTAGTTCCAGCTACTACTTGGAAGGCCGAGGCAGAAGGATTTCCTGAACCCAGCAGATTGAGGCTGTGATAGCCATGAGAGTGCCACTGCACTCCAGCTTGGGCAACAGAGTGAGACTTTACTCAAAAAAAAAAAAAAAATGACTAATGGTCCCTTTGCAAATACTTAACAGCCATCTTGAAATTGTTTCAGAGTGGTGGGGGTAGGAGGAATTGTACTTTTTTTTTTTAAAAACAGGATTTATTTAGCCGGGCGTGGTGACTTGTGCCTGTAGTTCCAGCTACTTGGAAGACTGAGGCGGTAGGATCACCAGAGCCCAGCAGGTTGAGGCTGCAGTGGCCGCCCCAGCCACTGCACTCCAGTCTGGGCGACGGAGTGAGACTCCCACTCAAAAAAAAAGAAAAGAAAACAGGGTTTATTGAGAGGGCAGAAAAGCTCCCATAGTGGGAGGCGACCCAAGGGGGTTGCCTCGTACTTTCCTTTTTAATGAAATACACAGAGATAGATAGAATAATATAATGAAACCCAGTACCTTAACCCAACTTCAACATATGTTTTGTGACTCTTGTTTGATTTTTGTTGTCTTGGGCTCAGATGAAATGACCATGGATGCCATCCTGGCACGATTGAAACTCCTGAATCCAGATGACCTGAGAGGAGAAATTATCAAAGCTGGGTTGAAATGTGGACCCATTACATCAACCACAAGGTTCATTTTTGAGAAAAGATTGGCCCAGGCTTTGCTAGAGCAAGGACAGCTGCCTTCCTATCCTCCCGACCATGATGGGGCGGGTGCTGTGGCACCCAGCCAGGATACACAGAGGGTTTTGAAGTCAGCTGTGGAGAACCCAACTGAACAGACCAGTTTCTCTGAGGACAGAGATTTTGGTTATAGTATGGGCTTGAATCCTCCAGAGGAGGGAGCTGTGATAGCCAAGACCTGCTCGGTGGCCCTCAGTGCCACAGTCGACACCCTCAGAGCTGGAGTGACAGCCTCTAAGGAGCCACCGCTGTACTATGGCGTGTGCCCTGTGTATGAGGACGTCCCGGCGAGAAATGGTAATGTGACTCTTGTGTGCTCTTTCCTTACCCAGACAGAATGGGGGGTGGGGGGGTGGGGGATATAAACATTGAAAAACTATAGGACAAAAAGAAAAATTTAGTCACCATAATCTCATCATGGAAAATTAACCATTGTTAACATTATGTAACCAGCACAGTGGCTCACACCTGTAATCCCAGCACTTTGGGAGGCGGAGGCAAGAGGGTTGCCTGAGCCCAGGGTTGCCTGAGACCAGCCTGGGCAACATACTGAGACCTTGTCTCTACAATAAATCAAAAAATTAGCTGGACATGTTGGCACATGTCTGTAGTTCCAGCTACTTGAAAGGCTGAAATGGAAGGATCACCTGAGGCCAGCATGTGGAGACTGTGGTGGCCATGAGAATGCCACTGCACACCAGCCTGGGTGACAGAGTAAGACTCCAACTCAAAAAAAAAAAAAAATTATGTAGACTCTTCCTGAATTTTTGTGAAATTGTATAAGAATTGCTGGGGATTATCAACAAGGGTGCCTGAGCAAAGCATATTTGTATACCTAACCCTTAACTGTACCCCACAATATCATAATAAAAAATATTGATTATAAAAAAAAGAATTGCTGGGGAAATTGAATTCTGTGAGATATGCTTGACTTACAAATATTGTTTGGCTCGTTGCCATTTGTTAGGAACTTTGTTGATTAATCATCTCCCCTTTTTCAAAATTCACTGTAACCTGGACACCTTCTTTATGAATGAATGCAAATGACCAGTGAATATATAAGTATTTTTCAACATTAAAGAATTATCGTTTTATGCAAGACTTAGCATTGGGGAAAAACAAGAACTCAGTGTTGAACAGAATATCAGAAACTGTGCACTATCCTCATTTCAGTCGTGATTGTGGCAATATTTTCCGTGCTGCCCAAAAATGGGAGACTGCATCATTAACAGAATGGAACAGTGTTCGACCATGAGATCTTTCAGAGAAGATTTAGTGACACTGGGGAATGGTCATGGTGTGATTTTTATCCGTTTAATCCTCTATTATTATAAAAGTTGCTTGATGAAAAAAGTTCATTTATAATGTATATATCCTATGCATAGTATGTAAAGTGAAAGTGAAGTTTCTCTCTTCCCCATTCAAATCTTGTTCTCTAGAAGCAACCACTTGACTGCTTTTGTATGTCATACCAGATCCTATTATTTTTTACTTATATACATAAACTTATTTTTTATATATTTATGAATTTTTTTTTTTTTGAGTTGGAGTCTCACTCTGTCACCCAGACTGGAGTGCAGTGGCCGCTTCCGGCCGCCGCAGCCTTGACCTGCTGGGCTCCGACGATCCTTCCGCCTCAGCCTTCCAAGTAGCCGGAATTACAGGCGTGCGCTACCACACTCGGCTGATTTTTTGATTTATTGTAGAGATGAGGTCTCACTGCCCAGGCGGGTCTCGAACCCACGGGCTCAGGCAATCCACTCACCTCAGCCTCCCAAAGGTGCGGGATTACAGGCTGAGCCACCAAGCCCTACTATTTATGAATTTTTTAAGTCAGGCTCTCACTCTGTCACCCAGGCTGGAGTGCAGTGGCATGATCACTTTTCACTGCAGCCTGGACCTCCTGGGCTCAGGCAGTCCTTCCACGTCAGCCTCCTGAGTAGCTGGGACTGCAAGTGTCACCACCACACCTGGCTAATTTTTAGATATTTTTTGTAGAGGCAAGTCTCATATAAAATTTGACTATGGCCATTCCCCTGTGGAACATTAATATTTTAATATAATTGGGACTGTCTTTTCCTTTATAGAGTTCCTTATGGATGATCTCTTGGCATGCTTAGAAAGGCATTTGCCATCCAATATTATGTCTAAAACTCCTATATTCTTGGCTGATATTTTCATAATTTCTTAAACTTGCCTTTTAAATTATTTTTATTTGTATCTTTACTCCATATGAAGTTTATGTTTTATATGCTATAGTATCTTGGAATATAGAATTACATATTTGTATAAAATATGTACCGTATTATTCACATACACCTACATGCGTGGTCAAACTTATTAACTGTGCTCTTTTGGCTAGCTAAGATGCCTTTTTTCAAGACTAAAAATCTGAACCAATCATGGACAAAGTTGCAGATGTGCCCTCAGCCTGTGCCTGAGGGACGTGTTTCCAATCACTCATACCTAATTTTCCTTTGTAACTTTTCCCACCTAGAAAGGATCCATGTTTATGAAAATAAAAAGGAAGCATTGCAAGCTGTAAAAATGATTAAAGGGTCCCGATTTAAAGCTTTCTCAACCAGAGAAGATGCTGAGAAATTTGCTAGAGGAATTTCTGATTATTTGCCTTCTCCAAGCAAACCCTCATCACCACTTTCTCCTGTGAAGGTAGCACCACTCTTCAGCAATGGTGGGTTGAAAGGTAAATTATACTGCAGTTCACAAACTGACATTGCTTTGTGGTATGTAGCTTTTCCTGATGCAGTGACTGGCTTTCCCCATGAGGTAGAGGTGATGGGGATGGAGTGACCAGGAAGCCACTTGGGTTCTGAGGCTAATGTGCCAGTACGTAGGATCCGGATCACAGATAGCCACTGAGAAGAACACCATTTCCCCTTCTGTCTGTCCCCTTGTCTCCCTCCTGCCTGTTGGACTTGGTCTTTTTTGGGTACTGAGACCAGTCTACTTCCCTAGCTAAAGCTGCACCAACTTGTAGGACCGGGGCATCTGCAAAAGACAGGCTTACCTGCCGGAGCTGTCCAGCCAGAAATCTGAGCACACCTACTGCCCAACTCAGAGCCGTGGCATCACTCACAGCCAGCATCATGCAGACCCATCTTTAACGTTGGTCCTACCTCAGCTTTCTTCCCTCTCCTAGCTCAGGTTTCTGGACCTCCTGACTGACTTGGGCTCCAGAGGGATGGCACCCTCTCCTACATATCTGACTTCAGTTGAGAATCTGCCTGTCTTCACTGAGCCTTACGTGCTTTCTAGATGGAAACCAGAATGATTTCTAGCAGTTTACAAATTTCCCTCTTTGCATTTTGTGAAACTTCCCCTGCAAGAAATCACTTTAAGACATTCTTAGGAGTTGAAAGAAGAGTAGTAGAAATCCCATGTGGAGCACTCCGTGCATGGTACAGGTCCTATGTGATTGCTGATGGTCTTTCCTTGGCCACAGCTGCCCTTCTTCCTGCTCTGCTTGCTGATGCCTCATTCCCAAAGCCAGCAAGATTCCATTTGGGTCTGACTGCACTTCACCTACATGCTCAGAGCGCCTGATTTCTTACCTGTCACTCCCAATTGGCGTGTAAGCCCCGCAGGAAAGTGTTTATCCCCCAGTGTAGTATGTAGGGGCAATGAGAAACTGTGAAATTAAATGTTCTTAAATTCTCTCTCTCTCAATGACAGATGGTTTGTGCTTGTCTGAATCAGAAACAGTCAGTAAAGAGCGAGCGAATGGTTACAAAAATCCCCGCACGCAGGACCTCACTGCCAAGCTTAGAAAAGCTGTGGAGAAGGGAGAAGAAAACACCTTTTCTGATCTGATCTGGAGTAATCCCCGTTATCTGATTGGCTCAGGGGACAACCCAACCATTGTACAGGTGAGCCTGCATTCAGCATTGCTGGTGCCATTGCAGTCACCAAGCTCGTGATGAAGTACTACATGTAACGAAAACTGAGGCTTAAAAGATGCGGTTTTCCTCCAGGAGGGATGCAGGTACAACGTCATGCATGTTGCCGCCAAAGAGAACCAGGCCTCCATCTGCCAGCTGACGTTGGAAGTCCTGGAGAACCCTGATTTCATGCGGCTGATGTACCCGGATGACGATGTGGCCATGCTGCGGAAGCGTATCCGCTACATCGTGGACCTGTACCTGAATACCCCCGACAAGATCGTGCGTGCCCCTGCCCCTCTCGCTCTGACCTCTTTCGTAGAGAGAGCAGTCGGTTTTCTCGTGAGAGAAAGGTGTACAGTCTGGGTGTAGTGAGTACGTCTTGTGCTTGTGTGTAGTGAGTACGTCACACCCCACAGCAGCGGCAAGTGAGGTGTTGGGAAGAGTAGGAAGAGGAGTGTGCTCATTGACTCGGAGAACTTGGAGACATGGCTGAAGAGAGGACTTGCCGGAGGAGTTGACCCTGCTGGTGTGGTGGGGCGGGGCCCCTCGGGGTGTGTGGGACACTAGATGCTGGGGTGCCTGGAGGCTTCCCTCTTGGGCTCTTTCAAGAGAGGAGGGTGGACAAGTGCCCAAACCCATAGGGATAAAAGTGGGAAAGCCTTGGTGTCTTTTTTCAAATAGCCTATCCATATCTTTTATATGGTTTCTTTTACCTTAGAAATATTTTCCATAAGGTTCAACATTTTGGAACTTTTTCTCTTTTTTTGGTTTTTAGAGTTGGAGTCTTACTCTGTCGCAAAGGCTGGAGTACAGTGGCACATGCATGGCTACTGCAGTCTCGACTTCCTGAGTGCAGGCAATCCTTTCGTCTCAGCCTTCCAAGCAGCTGGAACTGTAGACTTGTGCCACTATGCCCTGCTAATTTCTGATTTATTATAGAGATGAAGTCTTGCCAAGTTGTCCAGGGTGGTCTCCAACCCCTGGGCTCGGGCAGTCCTTTCACCTTGGCCTCCCAAAGTGCTGGGATTACAGGCTTAAGCCACTGCTGGAAACATTTTTAATGGTTTAAAGGGCTTAAGTAAGAATTCTTGAAACAGAAGAACTGATGTATTTATTATTTATATAAGGGAAAACCCAATGATAACTTCGAGCCAAGAATTGTAAACTCTTAGTAAAGCCTGAGTTTGGAAAGTTGTGGTGGGTGATAGAGTAAAAGAAGGGTGTTGTGGTGAGGCCTCATTTTATTACTTGATAACACAATGAATGTGATACATTGAATTGCATACTTGAGAAGCAGGAATGACTTTTAAATTAACAAGAAAAGGGCTGGGCACAGTGGCTCACTCCTGTAATTCCACCACTTTGGGAGGACAAGGTGTGAGGAATGCTTAAACCTAGGAGCTCAGCCGGGTTCGGTGGCTCAGTCTGTAATCCCAGCACTTTGGGAGGCTGAGGTGAGTGGATTGCCTGAGAC